TGAAGAAATGCATTCTTAACATATGGAAGCTGTAAATGTTAAAAAGCAAGGTTTGTCCCTTGGAAATGTTAGGGACAAAGTGAAAGTAAAGGACCGATTTTTTTTTTCTCTCTTTTAAACAAACAGTACAGTTGTTTGCACTGCAAAAAGTGTCATGTTCAATTAAAGAAAATGAAGTAAATAGAGGAGTGTTTAATTCTTTAGAGGCACTGGGCATGAAGGTAGTCTATCAGGTAGCTGAAGGACTCTGCCATTGCTCTCATTAAATTTAATACAGTAAATTTAAATATTTCTGTAGCACCTAATTGGATTGTGCACACTAACCAGTTGATTGGAAGTGGTTTGGAAGTCAAATAGAATAGAGTCGGATAAAGGAATAATAACTTTAATGCTCCTGTGAATACTTTCTCTCTCTCTCTCTCTCTAAATTTCAGTGGACGACTTAATTAAAAAGCAGTTGACTGTTTTATTGTCTGTGCTGAGTTCTGAGATACTTGGGTTTCTCAGAGAAGGCATTTCTTAAAAAGTATGCAAAGAAAAATCTTCAAGCCCAGTTTTTACAGGGTTTTTTTTCTGAATGTAGGTAAGGCTCCAGGTGTGAACTGTAGCCTCTGGCCTGCTGGCTCACATTGATTCACGCTTGAGAAAAGTTGATTCACACTGATTTACACTTGAAGACAAGAATCTCAGGAAAAGGGATACACGGTGGTACCCTGAAAAGCGCGAACGTGTGACAACGTCTCTCTCCTGGCAGAAGGGACAGGGGAAGGTCCGTGGATTTGGGAGGTTCTGGCTAACCAAGATAAGGAGAGTAGCACATATGTCACTTATGTTCCCTCGAGGAACAGAGATCATTAGTTCTTCGTGAGCATAATAGCCTTTCTCTCTCTACCCTTTTATTTCCATACTTGCTAGTTTTTAATATAACAATCTCTGTTTAGGTGTCTTGTGCGTGTTACTGTTTCAGACAGCTTGTGGCTGTTGCAGATAACCTGTTCCCTGCAAAGAAACTGCAAAGTCAGCCCCTGAACAAAATTGTAACAAAACCATAGCACAAAGCTGTTTTAATTTATTCCCAGCTCCCTGTAGTGTGACACCCCTGTCTGGTATCTTAAAGTTTCAAAATTCAATGTCAATTAAAATATTTTAATTTCCCTTTCTAAATATGGTGCACCAGAAAGCAAGCTCCATTCTCTTCCACTAGGCAGGATACATGGTCTGGGCTCATAAACTGCTTACAATAGTTTTGACATGTTTGCAGATGCTCCATTTCACCACAGTAGAGTGAAGCAGGGGATATAAATTGAGTTCCAGAGAGGTCTTTCTCTCTGTTGTTCCATCTATGTCTCAGGTCATCCCCTTCTACAGGTTTTGCCTCCAATCAGTAAAGCAATCAGCATGGAAACATTGCCATACAGAAGTAGACTAAGTAGTATAATTTAAGATTAATTTTTTTAGAGTAGACTTCTATGTTTACCTCAAACAACTTTGCAGCTGTTTTCCCCTTCTGTAAAATAATGAGGTGTCAGGTGTTACAGTGATTCACTTGATGAGATGATTCTGACTCTATTTCTATGATTTCCCTATATCCATTAATCCTGATGAAATGCAAACTTTCATCACTTGACCAAAAGTAATTCTGTTTATCTGCAAAGGAATTTGACAGACTGAGTTCAAAAGTTCAATAGTAAACCAGGATTTTTAAAGTGTTTTTTTTGCTGGTATGCAGCGTTAATTCTAAGTGATTTCAATTAATGGCATCTTCTAAGATATAGCTAAATTTTTGTGTCATTTAAAGTCTGGATTTACAGAAAATGTAGGATATGGATTTATAGAAAGTCTGGATTTATAGAACATGTAATGTAGCATGATGTA